GCAGTTATTCTTCACTTCATGGTGAAAATGCCATGGGGGACTTGTTGGAATATGTCACTGCCTCAAGGATTCTAGTTTGGAACCAGGACCTTTTCTTTAATTTCTATATTCTCTGTCTCTCTGTCTCTCTGTCTCTCTGTCTCTCTGTCTGTCTCTCTCTCTCTCTCTGTCTCTCTCTCTCTCTCTCTTGCCTCAAGTCAACAGGGTTTTACACATAGCATTAGCCACAGTACTGACCTTGCAAGCTTCAAGACACCAGTTTTAAGGATATAAGTAGTTATTGGTCCGATATTATAAGAGTCCAGCTGGGAACAGACTAATATATAATCAGGTCTCTGTCTCTGTTTCCATTTCAAAGGTCACCTCAGTCAGGTTTGTGCCTGTGATTCCAGCATTCAGGGGGCTGAGGCAGGAGAATCATGAATACAAGGCTCAAGGTTACTCTGGGCTACATAGTGAGACCTATCTCAATTTTTGAAAGATATAAATTAATATTGATTTATCCTTCCTATAGACTGGCAAGAGTCTTGCCCGTGGGCCTTTTGGTCTTGAGGAAGCAATGTCCTTTCAATTTGGGTTCCAATATCATGCTAGTATTGGACTGGATCTACTCTGTTTACTCTACTCTTGCACCTTCTTTGGAGAAGCACTTCTACTTAGCTCCTCGCTTCTAGGGCACCAGCATCCATTCCCTGGTCACTTGATCTCTTTCCCCTAGCCTGCTCATGACTGCCCCCTGGAATCTTGCTCCTCTACAGATCTCCTAAGGTTCTTCTGGGTGGCCGCTATAAGAGGTGCCCAGACCTACACGAGAATCCTTTTCTGTCTTTGGCCCTACCCTGCCATTAGGGACCAGTTGCACTGAACAGCATCTACCCCACTAGTTTAAACAGAAAGAGCCTTACTAGCAGGTATTAAATACCTTGCAAATATGACTGGAAGCCTGAAGATGCAGAGTTTCAACTGAGAGCTCAGCAGTTGCTGCCAAAGTCACCCCAAGGAACTGCTGCCAGACCAGTATCAGGAGCTGTAGCGTCACAGAGCTGCTTCTGGAAAGCCACTGCCACAGCTGCCCAACTTCAGAATCATGTCACCTCTACTGTGCTCGGATCTCGTCTCTCAATAGCTGTACATACAGGACTGGGAGGGATGTAGACCTCTGTTAAAGCTGTCATAGAAAGAACAAAGGTACCACCACTGCGGTTACTAGCGGGAAAGACAAACACATGGTTCCTACTTCTGCCTTCCGGATTAGGCATGCTGCAACTGACTAAGGCAATCTAATTTTGGCACGAGGAACTATAGCTGCAAGAGAGTCCAGGAAATATAGTTTTTAGTTCTTTAGAAAAGAAAAACAATCCATAAACAGATTGGAGTAGCTACTAAATAAACCAACCCAGATATCTGTTATATTTGCCTCCTGTGCCAATAGTCCTGGTCTCTAGTTGGAGACAGTCACTTCTCAAGGAACTGCCCAAGTACTATCTGCTCTTTCTTCATTACAAAAACAAATTATGGTTCAGCCCCTCTAGTCCTTGTCTCAGAGTTTACTGAATTTCTGCCATGCATATTTCCTTAACCATCTCCCTCTCTAACAACTCACACATAATCTTCAACTTTAGCCTTGGTCTTCCTTTGTTGGGCTTTCTCTCTCATTCCCCATTTCCATCACTGCTGCCTTACTTCCATGAAATTGCTTCTTTTTTCTTTTTCCATTTCCTAGGTTGACGCCTCCATTGTCTCCTCCCTTTCATGGTTTCATGGCAGTCCGCATTTTTTCATCAACTACCACAATATCACTCATTCCATAACCTGCCTGTCCTTAGTGACTCATCTATAACTGACAGAAGGCAGCAGAAATGACTGGAAGCTGGGTCTGCAGGCTAACCGACTTCCACCTGCTCCCCCCCCCAACCCCCTGGATTGCTCACCGTCCTGATGCTGCCCCTTGCCCTGTCCCCTCTTGTAATCCACTGAGAGAAGCCCGTGTCACATATGAGGTTACCTGCCTGTGCTCTGGTTTGCACCAGAACTCAGCCTTTGAGCTGCTCTATCCCAGTAGCCATGTGAGAAAAAAAAGTCTTCAAGTGACACCAGTGTTCCTCTGAGTCACTGTAGCTGAGGAGCCGGGGATGAGATGGGCCATTCTCAGATGGTCAGCTTTAACCCGGACAGCCCACAAACAACAAAACAGGGGTACTTAGCATACTCTACTAAGTGCGGGGTGTTTCATTACCAGTAACGGGGATTAAGACAACATTCAAAGCCATGGTCAACATTCTGATTATGAACTCTACAAAATGCCAAGTAGTTTGTGTTTTTGCTTGGCTCAAAACCTTATATGCAGGGATGGAGAGATAGCTTAGCAGGTAAAGTTCTCACTGTACAAGCATGAGAACTAGAGTTCAGATCCCTGGTGCCCATGTAAAAATCTGGACATGTTGGCAAGCACCTGCCTGGGGAAATGGATGGAGGATGCTGTGGAATAATTCTATTGTACACTGTAAAGATTTGTCACTTGAATTGGTTTAATAAGATGCTGACTGGCCAGTAGCCAGACAGGCAAGGTGGCCAAACTAAGGATGCTGGGAAGAGGAAGGATGGAGTCAGGAGTCGCCAGCTAGACACAGAGGAAGCAAGATGAGAATGTCATACTGAGAAAAGGTACCAAGCCACATGGCTAAACATAGATAAGAATTCTGGGTTAATCTAAGTATAAGAGCTGGTTAATAAAAAGCCTGAGCTACCGGCCAAGTATTTATGAGTAATATTAAGCCCCAGAGTCAATTATTTGGGAAGCAGCTGCCGGGTATTTGGGAGTTGCTGGCTGGACACAGAAACTGCTGTCTACAGAGGAGAATCCCTGGGATTTGCTTGACATCTAGTCTAGACAATCAACCATCTCTGGGTTCAGTGATAGACCTTGTCTTTTAAAATGAAGGGGCGTGGGCTGGAGAGATGGCTCAGCAGTTAAGAGCACTGGCTGCTCTTCCAGAGGACCCGGGTTCAATTCCCAGCACCCATATGGCAGCTCACAACTGTCTGTAACTCCAGTTCCAGGGGACCCGACACACCCAAGGCAAAACACCAATGTACATACAACTAAAAACATAAAAATAAAAATGAAGGGGAAAGCAATTGAGAAAGACATCTGATACTGGACTCTGGCCTCCACATACATGTACACTGGTGCACACACACGAACATATATACACACACAAACAAATGAATGGATGAATGAGGTGGATACAATTGAGGAAAACACCCTGCATCTACCCGTGGCTTCCACAAGTACTCACTACTCACTTTTCATTTCAAAATATTAGATTTTTGCTTGGCCATGTCGGCACTGCCTGTCCCTACAAGTGTTCACAGACACTGGTTTAAATTTCACACCCCCTCACACTGTTAACCAATGAGACAGCCACGAGCCCACTAGCCATTTCCCATCAACACACGGCTGTTTTAATTGTTTGCGTTGAATCTGAGTTTCTGAATTTCACTAGCCGTTTTTCAGGGCTCAGTAGCCACTGCCCCCTGAATGGTACTGTCTTTAGTGTTCTCTTTTCCAGTTAACCTCACCTCCCGTGACATCTTAAAATTGTAATTGATCGGAATAACGTGCTGAAGATCACACAATCCAATGCCATAAAAGAACAGATACACCTTGCCTTCCCCAACATTTAGTGTAGTGCTTGGTACATGGTAGGTGCCTCCAAGAAACAATGACATATCTCTCCATATTAAGACAGAATTAATTGATTACTTAGGACTTCCTTTTTCCCCTACTAAAACATTCAACAGTGCATGTCCTCTCAGGACAGCTGTTTCTCAGCTGATGAATGGTGTGTGTGTGTGTGTGTGTGTGTGTGTGTGTGTGTGTGTGTGTGTGTGTGTTGAGAACTGTACCTTGGAATAGCCTTTTCTTTTCACTGTAGCAGTTATTTTAGGGGATTATTGCAAAGTGTGGATGCATTTTTATCTGGGTAAATGCTTTTTCTAGAAGGATGGCAAGTGTTGCCTAATTCCTGTGCTGTCTTTATCTGCCAACTCTGAAAGTCCTCAAGCTAGGGCCAGGGGAGGGGGTGGTAGTCATTTACACTGTCCAAGGAGGACATGAGAACAGCCAGTTAGTGTATTGAGGTTTAAAAGGTTATTACCAATTGTGTGTGTGTCAGAGAGAGAGAGAGAGAGAGAGAGAGAGAGAGAGAGAGAGAGAGAGAGAGAGAGAATAATTTTTAAAGTTAGCCCTCTAAATTTCTCTTTAAACAGTAAAGTACTCTGTTTGTTAGACAGAGTGTTTGTGTAGCCCTGGCTGTCCTGGCGCTCACTCTGTAGACCAGGCTGTCCTGGCACTCACTCTGTAGACCAGGCTGGCCTCGAACTCAGCCTCCACCACCAGTCCCGTAAACCACTCTTATTTGGTACATGAATGAACAGAGCCTCTTATAATAACCTCTGACGCTATTTACATCTGACACACTGTGCTCATGCTAATTGTGTTTATTGTTGTACTTTCTCTTCACTCTTGAAAATACTGTGTTTTATTTTAAAAATGTTGTTTACTTTTAAAAGACTTCTTTATTTGTATGAGTGTTCTGCCTGCACGTAATAAATGTGCACCACATGTGTGCCAGCAGGGGTCAGAAGAGGGCATCAGACCTGGAGTTAAGATGACTATAAGACACCCTGTGGGTGCTGGGACCAGAACGGGGGTCCTCTACAAGAGTAACAAGTGCTCTTCCCTACCAAGCCATCTCTTCAGCCCCTAAAAACACATTTTTTTATTAGTGTGTGAAGAATTGAGTCTCATTATGGAACTTTTCAAACCAGTTTGGAAGACGCTTATTTTAGGCACCGTGGCAGCATCTGTTACTCCCTTCGGGGGGTGGGGGTGGGGTGAGGTTTTGAAGACGCGGAAAGCCTTCGTTCCGCTTGGCATTTCAGTGCCCACAGAGCTCGGCATTATTACGAAACACTTTAGACAAATGTGTTTGGGGCTGCGACAAAGCGAAGCTCCATCGGGGGTGTCTCGATGAGACTCGGGGCAGCTGTCACCTCCATGCTTGCCCACGTGCCCCTGGAGGGCGAAGGCATTATCCTCGGTCGACTTCGTCACTTCCGAGCCTTCGCCGAGTAGGTAATGCTCGGTACTCCCGTCCCAGAGCCAAGCCAGGCTTCCTACGCCATTTGTCACAGTGACTTCATCACCCTTCAGACTCCGAGACTTGAGAATACAGCAGGAAGAACCCTATAAACACCGGTGTTTTGATCTCCTCTTAACCGGCTGATACCTGACAAGACTGGTTCATTGCTCTGCTCTCCATATAACATGGGGGGGGGGGGCGGGGGGGGCGGGGTTAATGCTGTTTTTTAAAAACAGGGTAACTATGGAGTCTCTTTATTTCATTTATTTATTTATTATTTTTTGCAGTGGGAGCTGAGGATTGAACCCCAGCCCATGCCACCTCAGCCCATGTTCCCAGTTTTGGGTTGTAAAATGGCAGGAAATCCATCCTCCGGCACAAGCGCAGCAGTCAGGTTGAGGGGCTCTGGGAAACTCTTCGCCTCTCTGGGCCTGCTGTTCTTCATCTGTGAGATAAGGAAAGCCTCTTCTGCCTCTGTTTATGTTTTGTTTCAGGATTCTAATGCCACACTAGAGACACTCTTCTGTCATATGTTACTTTGGGGAAGATTTTTATTTTCCACCCACTCTTTTTAAAAAGACCAGTCAGTTTTCGTAAAAATGTACAACTAAATTTACCATCTTAACCATCTTAGTTTCTGCTCAACCAACCTCCAAATCACTTTCGCCGCTGTGAAACGGGAAGTTCTCTCCGTGTGAGGCATCTCCCCCTTCCTCTCTGTCCCCAGCCCTTGCCACCCACCACTCCACTCCCTGGCTGTGCGGATTTAACACTCCAGATCCACCACAGGAGAGGAATCCTATGTACTTGTCTTTTTGAGCCTGCCTTGTTGCGCTCACTACGATGTCCTCGGGCTTCACCCCTGTCGGTAGCCTGAGTCCTAGCCGCCTTCCTTTTAAAGGCTGGAGTAATGATCCTCAAACGAGAGAGAGGAGAGGGAAAAAAGGAAAAGAAACCCCCCTCTCGAGGGCAGATCTAGCATCATAAATTCAAAGGGTGTAATAGGCCTTGAAATCCAATCTATTTTTAAATACGGAAGTTGAGGGCCAGGGGAGGTAAAAGTGCCTTGTCAAGCTACCTCAGAGGGTAGCGCGGCTCTTGGGGGCACACACACTCTGTGTGTGGAGGGAGACGGTGAGGGCCGCAGGGCAGGGCTTTGAAAACAAAAATGGCCACTAGGTTGAGAGAGCACCTGGCTAGAATGAGCAATTGCCCTGAACAGTACCGCAAGCACTTGGAACGTAGGGTAAAGAGCCAGCGGAAAGCCTGGGGTGCCCAGCACACTGTGAGGGGACCTGGTGTACTGCTATAAGGGGAGGAGCCTCGTGGAGCCTCCTCGTGGAAAGCCAGGCTCAGGAAAGTGCTAGTAAGCAAGAAACGCAACCCCTCTGTCCTATGGGTTAAATCATTTGTTTTTCAAAGCCTTCCTCCTCCCATGAGTGAAGTTCTAGTGAACGAGTCTCCTCTACTGTCCTCTCTCCTATCCACTGACCACAAAGGCTCTGGGGGCTGTAGGCAGCAAAGTCTCAGCTGGGAGACGCCAGCCTGAAGTGACAGAGATGCCACTCTAGCGCAGTCAAGTACAATCAATATCCCTTGTTTGGGGGCAGGAAGTCAGCAGCAGAAGTGGGGTGCTGGGGGAGGAATTCATTACGGGGAGAAAGAAGGAGCCTCCGGGCTCCTAGGCCTGCAGGTGGTGTGGGCCCAGGAACTTGGTGGTAGGAATGCCGTGGTCAGAACCACAGGCTGGTGAATCCAAAGACTGGCCACTCTTCCAAACCAGCTACTTCCCGACATAAGGAAGGGTTGTCTCCGGTGGTTTATCAATAGGGTTATCAGCAACACATTCCATAATTATATATGCATAGACATGGATGTTTTCTAGACCCCCAGAAAGCAGTCCTGCACACCCGGGGGAACTCTAATTGATGCTCATTTATTCAGAGAGACTTTGTTTTCTGAGAACTAATTCTTCAAAGCTTTGCGGAGGGAGCAGAAGCCACCTTTGTGGTGGACACAATTTTCTTTCTCTCCCCTGCTCCAATTCCTGCCCGGCTGTAAAGCTATCAGGCTCATTTCCATATCAAACAAAGAGGAGGCAGGAAAATGCTCCCCTGATCGACATAAAAAGACACATTACTGGAGATTGTCTAAGAACTTGTTTTTATGGCCAAAATTAGCAAATTATTCACAGTACTAGGTGAGCCAGATGACAATAGTATTTAAGAGAACAAAGCCACTCATCAGGACTCCCCGACCTCAAATCCGCCCCAAGGCAGGTCCCCAGCTGCTAGAACATCTCTGGGTAGGGCCAGCCAAGAGGCTATTTAAAAAAAAAAAAAAAAAAAAGACAGAAAGAAAGAAACAGGCAGCCAGGAAGTCCGCCACTTATCCAGCTTCAGCTACCAGAAAATGCATTCCAGGACTTGCTCCCAGCTCCCCAGAAACTCCGTGGGTGGCCCCTGTGTTAACGCGACACACACGTGGCTCCCATCTCACCAGTTTCCCAGGGATGTGGGGGAACCCTCAGTCACACAGCACGCATTTCCTTCCTTTTGGGGTTTTGGAGACCCAGATAAAACCTGAGCCAGCTGTCATGCATAAACTGCTGACTATCGACCTGCTTTTAATCCACAGTAATTAATAACCCACTTGAAACATTAATCCACACTGGGCGTTAACACGCTTGGCACCCTTTTGGAGGACACTGGTGCCAGGATAGTTTGTCACAGGGTGAATCTGCATTGGTCAGCTGGGACCTGGTCCCTCTTTGTAAAGAGGCTGTGTAGTAAAGGATGAAAGAGACAAGTCCTGAAATTGGGCCTGGGAACCGGCGCTTTGCTAAGACAGCAATCACGAGGCCTGGAGCACACCCGTGGGCGAAGGGCTCAGAATCCTAGAGGCAGCAGTCGCAAGGTGTCCGAGCCAGCAAGCAAGTCAAGACTTTTTCGTGTTGCCCTGCCTGATCCCTTCCGCCTTAGGACACCTCTGCCCAGGAGTAGGACTGTGTCTGGTGTCCTGACCTTTCTCTCTACTCTTCTATAGAGTTTCAGAGAACGTGACTCTTGACACTTCTCCCTTCATTTAATGACTCTCAACAGCAAGCTGTTGGTGTGCATCAGCTGTTTCTTTTTATTGTTGTATAGTATTCCACTGTGTGGACCCATCACAGGTCATTCATTTATTTACCCATCAAAGGACATATTGGTTGTAAAAGTTTGGGGCGATTACAAATAATTCTGCTGCAAACATGTAAGAGTGTGTAAGTACATGGGGTCTTCACTTCATTTTCTTTCAGTGTCTTCTAGAATCCCCACGAGAATCTTTGGTCTATGGGTTGGAGGGATGGCTCAGTGGTTGAGTCCCCGTCTTGCTCCCGCAGAGGATCCAGTACCTACAAGGTGGCTTACCACCATCCATAATTCCAGTTCTCCTGAGGCACCAGGCATGCATGTGGTGTAGAGACATACATGGAACAGAACACTTATATGCATAAAATAAAATAAACAAGTCTTTAAAAAATAAAGAGGAAACACTGGACTAGAGAGAAACTGAAAAAAGGTAGCTATGAACTATCCCGAATACTCATGCAATGGTCTGTGTGACTAGGTTCTGAGTATGAGCTTGGGGTTGAAATCCTGGCTTCAACACTTGATGACTAAACCTTCAACACAGCCCTGTAACATTTCTGAGAGCACGCTGTGAAAATGTGCAGGTGTCCACTTGGAAGTGCAGGTTCTGGGCTGGGGAGATGGCTCAGCAGGTAAGGACGCTTGCTGCCAAGTCTGAGACCCGAGTTTGCTCTCCGGGATTCACACGGTGGAAGCAGAAAACCAACTCCTACAAGTTGTCCACTGATTTACACACACACACACACACACACACACACACACACACACACACACACACACACACACACAAATGTCATTTTAAAACAGCCCTACAGCTCCGTAAAGTCGGGCTGGTTATTACTCTGCAAATTCAAAGTCTGTCCTTCAGTCATGTCAACTCCTGGCTCCTCAATGACCATTATAATGGTGGAGCACACCTTTAATCCCAGCACGCAGGAGTCAGAGGCAGGTGGATCTCTGTGAGTTCAAGGCCAGCCTGGTCCTCAGAGCAAGTTCCAGGGCAACCAGGGCTACACAGAGAAGCTGTGTGTGTGTGTGTGTGTGTGTGTGTGTGTGTGTGTGTGTGTGTGTTGTCCTGTTGTACACCCTTGCTTGGTACAGGCTAAGGTCTCAGGCTGGGTGGCACTACTTCCTAAGTGCCTTCCCCTAGGATTTGCCCTTCAGAGTGCTGTGAAGCTCTCTAGCTTGTCTTGCCTAGTCTACTTTCTGGCCATTGGATTTGCTTCTTATCCCACGTCTGTGTGGACTGTGGGCTTCTCAGAGGCAGGGACTGTGGGGTCTTGCTTACCACGTGTCTCTGGTACCTCACATGGTGCTTGTCAACAGGTCCTCATTAAATGTTTATTGAACAAATAAACAAATGAGGGAGTCAGGATCCTGCCCCTGTGTGGTAGCAAAGGGTTTACCGCCCAGTTAGTTCCCTGGGAAGGTGTAGGTCTGCTGTACCCAAGGTAACCTAGATCGAGTCCCTCTGCCGTCGGCAGAACCCAGGGTCAGACACTAATGGCTGTTTCAAGTCTATCAGTTTCACTGGGGTGAGCCCTGGGAGGGAAGAAAACGCAGCAGGCAGGGAGAAGCAGACCAAGGCAGCGTAAGAGAAGAACTAGTCAGGACTTAGAGTTAGAAAAAGGTGCTTCAAGTACTAACTAGCTGCAAGTGATGCGGATAGCCTACCAGCCCTGGGGTTTGTTTCCGAGAAGATGTGAGAAACTGGACCTGTGTTGGTTGCTGTCCTGTTGCTGGAACAGGACCCCTGACACAAACAACTAACAGGAGAGGTTCATATTGGCTCACGGTGCAGGAGATAAAGTCCATCACACCAGGGCAGGTAAGATGGCTGGAGTCTCTAGCAGCGGGAGCTTGTAGTAGCTGCTTGGTACATGGTGCTCACTACACAGAGAGAGACAAGCTGGAATGGGGGTGCCTGTGCTACCTAACCTGGGACCGACATTCTCCAGCCACATGATACCTCCTGAAGGTTCCACAACTATTCAAAGCATTACCACCAGCTGGGGACCAAGTGTTCAAAGCCATGGGCTTGTTCAGGACTTCAGGCCCAGATTCTGGGACCATAATGAGTCTCAGGACCTCCACTTACTACGCTGTGACTGTTCATACCTTAGCTGTCTGTGCTTCATTTTCTCATCTATAAAATGCTGGGAATAGCCGTATTTACTCCTGGGATAATGAGGATTAAAACCGTTCATAAACAAGGGGATTAGAACCATGCCCAGTATTTAAATGCACAGACACACAAATAAATACGGGAGGGGTCTGTGAGGTTCAGAGAGGAAAGTACAGCCCCGCTGCATAAATGCTTCAAGTAAAGCTTCCTGAAGAGTCTGCCTGCTATTTTAAAATCCCATGCTTGGGTAAATATGCAGAAAAGGCAAAGCTGTAGCCGAGAGCTGTGGGATGCCACATAACCAGGCCTCTCAGGAGGGACCAGAAGTCACCACCATCTGATGTCTGCCTTGTGGCTGCATGAAAGGAA